TTTTTTTTTTTTTTTTTTTTGCCGAGGATGTTCTGTGGAACATATGGAAAAACCCTGGGATCTCTCGGTTAAATCATTCTATTTGTTTTCACATCAACTCTATTGAAAATTATATAGCTCTATTATGGTATCATCGCTTTTGTAGAAATTTTTGGGTATAAATCTTGCGTTTTTTTCCCAATTATTTCATGTTTTTCGTAATAAAATACAAGGGAAAAATTCTTATAGAAAATAATCAAACATAAGAAAAATGCATAAAGTCGTATAATTTTCAATAGAATTGGCAAAAAAACAAGTTGAGTTTTTCATCTCTGTCCTAGGATGTTCTCTTGTTCTCTTGTTGAATGGGAAATATTAACTACAGTTTTTTTGTTTGAGGAAAATAATAAGAAATTATAGGCAATTGAAAGAAAACATTATTTATCGCAGTCGAAAAATACGCGTCTCATATTTCCCATTTAATTTTGCAAAAATAATTGGAATTGAGGATGAAGTGATAAAACAATGAGTAAAAATCAACATTTTTGCTATTTGAGATAATTTCACCAAAATGTGACAAATTGTTCTGCCACTTCACAGCCAAACTCTGTACTTTAATTTCTATTAACTTGTTTTTTGCCTTCATCAACAAGCAGAGGAATATAACATTCCCTATAATTGTTGTAAAATAATGCCACAAGATCGAGTGGATGAATTAATCTCATGGATCGTGAAATATAAAAAAAATGCTGATTAATTAATAAGCAGGCTGAGAGACCCCTATGCGTGCCAGTTTGTACATATGCACGTTAAGTTTTGTGCTATAATTTTTTTTTTATTACGAAGAATGTTACGAAACGATGAAAATTTAACGACTAAATTTGATGCATTTATTAAGATAATGAAGTAAAGTAAAAGAAATCTATTGTGACATTGAGAATGTTGAGAACAGAATTGAATGAATTCTCTGGGAATTATGATTCTGAGGTGATATTAATTTTTTATCGTCTGTTTGATATTCATTGAGAGCAATTTTTTTTTTTTACGCTATCAACTTATACTCACCGATCTATTTTTGTGTTCAGTTTGAAAAAAAAAATAAGATTTCATTATTTTTCCTTTGTTAGTTTATTGCTGTTAATGACGACTGCTATGGAATCCATGATAAACCATAATTTTTACGAGCGAATCAATCATTATGTTGCATTAAGTATTTTATGTATTATTATGTCAGCGTATTACTGCGGTAGACAGGTCCACCACAGCTGAGCCCCATATGCATTTCTTTTGTATATAATTTTTTTTCCCTCTTTGTCTTAATGCTACGTTATTTCTTTTTAACCGAGAAGGCACATGTTGATCTGATTAATTGATAATTATGGAAATTATGGAAAATGTTGAGTAATTGAATGATTAGGTTTTGGTTAGTTTTCGTTTTTCTTGATTTCACGTATGGAAAAAGTTGATAGAAAAAAGCCAATAGATTTGTATTTCTATATAGAAATTCTTATTTTTATTCAATAAATGCCACCAGAATTGGATATGTAGACAAGTCAACGCCTATACACTTGTTTAAAAAACAATCTATTGAAAAACAAAGTTGCATAATTGTGAATAATAGAATGAACTGCTCGATTTTTCTATTCTATTTTTTCCATATGCATTGAAAAAAGACATAAGAATTTGGAAGAGATTTTCAGCTCCGTGCCTAGTGTATTATTCCTCAGTGATCTGATATTTTTTCAACTCATGAAAATTGGAATCGTATCGTGGATTTTTTATAAAAACGATGAACCGACGAAATCAAAATGATATTAGCGCTCTCTAAAGTGTGAAACATGCAGCTCATATGTGCGTTATACCTAGGGATTGTATTCTCAACATAACAATTTAATTATTCGATTGAATGAGAATAAAGGGGAGCCAAAGAGTAATAAAAATCTAAGAAGTTGGTATTTTTAGTAATTGATCTGTAGCAACTTGTGAATTCCAAGATCTAATATTATAGATACTTTACGAATCCAGATGCGTGAATTCTTTTGCGAGGATCAAGCGATGACCATGTATGATTATTAATGAACATTTGTTAGATCAACAAATTAATTAAATGGAGATGGATATGTGAACTTGTACCTCCTAACAAGCCTCGATTTATTCCCGAAGAGATTGATATGTCTTTCGTCTTTCTGCTGCATTAATCAATCGCGAAGAAAATTAAGATAACATCTAAATTCTGTGTAAACAATAAAAAATGCTAAAAGTTTATGGGTTTTATTCGTTATAATTATTCCCCTTTAGAACAATCAATGAGTCTTAATCTGACTCCTGTGACCCTTACTTGTGGAATCTTCATTTCAAGTAGAAAATTTTCATCACCAGAACTGGATTTTTTGGATTTTTATAATGTATACAGAGATACAGTGACTATTGTACAGTTGAAATCTTTTGGCTGAAATTTTCGGTACATCTCTTGAAAATTCAAATCGAGTAGCAGTTGCACTGAATTGAATTCCATTCAATTGTAAATTTCAGTTAAACTATTCTAGGGAAATTAATGGAAATCCGGAAAATTTGGGTAAAATAATTACCTCTAAATTCCAATTTTTTTTTTTGTTCCACCATCGTAAAACGGATTTTCATCTACTTACCAAACATCCATATCTCTCAAAAACTCGGAGAGAATAGAAAGGAAGAGGGGAACAAAATCGAGTATGTCTCCAGTCTTTACTTCTTTAAGCGCTGATGATAGAGTGAGTGGTTGTAGGGTGAGTGCCCACTTGAAGAGTGCCGGAAGAGTGAGGCCCCGAAGTAGAAGAACCCCGAGCCTACCAAGACTGTGAAAAAAGGGAGGGGTGGGATGAGGATGAGGATGCAAGTGCTGTTTGTTCTCGTTGTTTTAGCCTTGACAGAAAGGGAGCTTCGAACTGTTGTGTGTGCCTTTATGCCCCGTGCAATGAGAAGCCACTTGACAGTAAAAGAACGGGTCACAGGGGTGGGTGGTGGACGGAAACCCTTCGAGAAGAGTTTTATAGTTCGGCCAGAGGTGAGGAGTCCGTGACTATCGTTGAATCTTCTGTGGTAATTATTTTTAAACACGTCGTAGCGATATGAATCTCACCCTTTATGGCTGTTTATTTTTTCTGTCATCAAGGGGCCGGTAAAAAACACGTAACTAAATAACCAGTGACTAATTGGAGGCTCTCGGAGTCGCTCAATAGGGAACAGGGCAAAAATCGTGTAAAGCTCGCTCGTTGAGACATCCCTGTGTACGTGTCACACTATTTCGTATTTTTCTATCGTTTATTTAATTGACATTAATATTAATTGAATAGATTTTATTTACATAAAATCAATATTTTGTCAAACAGAAGCTAATGTTTCTTGAACCGAAGTATAAACTTTATTAGTTAGAAATGGACATAATTGTTTAATGAACTTTTAAATATAAAAATAAGTTGAATTTGAATGTTCAAATGAATTTTTTTTTACCCCACCCTCTTTCCTACAACATAAAAGAAATAATGTCTTTTGATTGACAAAACCATTGGAGATGACGAACCACTAGTTTCTCACGGTACCCACGCCAGACCAAGCTCCATCCCTTTTGATCCCGCATATGCCAAATCGAATCAGGTACATATCTGCACTCCCGTTCACTGGACAACTACGACAATGTTGTTCCCGAGGTTGGAAAGCGTTGAGCAAGCCCGAGGTTGAAACGAGGCCAGATTGCTCGGTGATCAAGTTAAGCGGCACGTGGCCAGCCAAACCTCCTCCCTCCTTTCCTTACTCCACTCTTTCATCTCTATCGCTCCATTATGTCGTGGCTCCTACCATCCGATTTTGGATGTGAGGGGGAAGAAACGATAAAAACAAGGTGAAAAGGGAGTTTATCGGGTGGTCGACTGGTCGGGATGAGAAGTCGAGTGACACGCGCCGACGTCTTGACAGCTTGTTAGGGTAACGTTATACATACAATCAGGATGTCGGGGTTGTTGGGGATGAATGGCGATGAATACATAACAAGTTATGTTTCTTTAAATGAAGAATGTTTTTTTATATATTTTTTTTTTCCAGGGAATTTTTCTCTCAAAATAATTCAATAGAAAAAGTCAGTGCAACAAATCGATATTCTTCCCTTTTTTTTAGGACAAAAATGTTGAATTAAATGTAAAAAATTGTTATAAATTCTGATTATTAATTTAAAATTCATTAATTTATTGAAATTGCACAAAACTTGAATTTTTTCGTCCAGATGAAAGATGATATTCATCGTCATGTTTAGTAATAACAAAATTGGAAACATGATTTAGAATTAAAAAAAAATCCTCATATTGATTTTTTTAAAGTAATTCAAACCTTTTGATTTTTTTAATGGAAAATACTCCTAAATTTCTTAAAAAATAAAAAAATTAAAAACCCAATTAAAAAAAAAAAAGTAGCAGTAGTATTCTCACCGCATAGTGCACGTTGAATTTAATATGTTCATCCGAAAGGTGGGACATAATGCCAGAGGTGCGTATCGTTTGAACCCTCCTGCAGGGAAAAATAATGAAAGTAAATGGAACACGCCCACTGCATTTAGAGAGTAGGTGCGTACCCCGTAGCACCTACTCTCTCACTCAGCCATTTGCCCCTTTTCCCATTGTATTTTTTGTCATCCTCTATTCCTTCATCTCTCGTTGATACACCCACTACCCCCCAGTCGCCATCCAGTGCGCCACTTCATTGTCCTTTATTTCATTATTTTCGTCGCATTCCGTGCTCCACAGAGTGACTACTTCACCGAGGGGCCACACAGTCCCACACAGTCAAATACATCTGTGTACCCTCCATCCCTCTATTTACGGTACCATAATAATAGCCGTCTTAACTCAATCTAATAAACATCATAAACAGTAGCCGTGATCGCATTAATTTATGAGCAACCACTCAACTGTGAGGATTGAGTCGGCTACCTGGGGCTATGCTGTACCTATGAATGGAAATGCCCGAGTTGATTATGAAAAACATCAAACGCGTCATGTCGCACACCCCTGTGATCTTTGTGATCTTTCCTTCAGATAGTGTTTATTATTTTACGCTTGGAATGATAGATTTATGAATTATTCGGGGCTCAGTCCGGAATTAATTGATCAATTATACGAGTGAAGGGGTAAATTAAGTTATCAAAGTAATCTTGTCGATATAATTTGATAAATATCAGTGTTTCTACATTTTCCTCTTTTTTTTTCTCATTATTATTGTTGTGTTCTTCTCATTTCCGAAGGAATTGAACAGTTGCAAGACTGAAGTGCTAAACTGAATAATTTCAATAGACTTGTGGATAAAATGTGCAATATCTCTGAATTTTAAGATAACAAAACTTTAATTAAAACCGTCTTGAAGATTTTTCACAAACAGACGATGGAATCTCAATTTTTCAAATCTAAACAATAATTTCATTTTCAATATAACTATTATGATTATCATTGATGATATTGAAAATTAAACGATATTAAAATTTTCATGTCAGGTGATTATTGAAATTGTAATTACAGCTTGAATTCGCCAACTCATTGCGCTAATTAAACATCACATTATTCAATTGAACTCTCAACATATCGAAAATTCAAAATAATAGTTGCCTGAATTTTCCATAAATAGAATCCTCCATAGGTAGAGCATTGATTGATATACTATATCAGTAACAAAAGTCATTGTGTAAAATTTCAAGATTTTTTACTGGAAATTTCAGATCTAATTTTCTCCTATGAGGGAATAAAAAAAATGAAAGCGCTAACAATATCATGGAAAAATAAAACTGCACTCTCAATTTCCCTCGACGTACAACTGTACAAAACTCTTTTCATCAATTTTTTCCATTTTGCTTTTTTTTATTTTTATTATTCATCTGTCTACGTCACGCACACCCTTGTTCAGGGCGATATCTCGTATTTGAGAACGTGTGCCCCGTGATTTCGTGCCAATAACATGATTACGTATCCCCGCTGTTCGTTGCCGGTGTGTTTCACTCGCTTTCACTCTCTGCCCCATCCTCCCCCTCCCTTTACATGCCTCGAATTCTACAGAGTAGCTACGGTTGCTCTGATCCCTCGCAATTACTTCCCATTATCTGGGTATTAGGATTCACCCCCCAACTGGAAGCTTGCACGACGTATTCTCGTCGTGTGGCTCCGCCTCTCCCTTTCTCATTCTCTGTCACTGTCTCTCTGGATTCTGTCTTTGTCTCTCTACTCAGGTCAGCCCAGTGGTCTGCGTCAACAGGGTGTAGTGGGCTCGGCACAACATTACGCACAGCCGCGATTTACTCTTATGGCAACAGGTTCCGTCGGCGCAATCGCCGACATCATCTACTTATGGTTTTATGCAGGGATGGCAAAAATTATCAGAGCGACGGGAACATGACAATTTGGGGAAAATGTTTTTCTACGGATTTAAAATTTGCTTCTAACTCAAGGAAAATTTGCGGGAAATAACTCATCAATTCAGTTCACAATGAAACCAATAAATGAGCAAAAGTTTAATGCAAAAGTTACTGAAAATCGGGAGTTTTTAACACTTGTTTTATTTCAAAACCGCGAATTCTTGTGAAAACGACAACTTTTTTCTCCCTATGAAGTCCTGTTCATTGAAAATTCGTAAATAACTGGCATTTGCGCGAGAAAAAACATTGGTTTTCGCATGAATTTCAATAGATATTCAATAAATGAGGATTTTCCATGTAACTTTTCTTCTCTTGAAATTATTCCCACAAAAATTCTCGCGGGGAAATTTTCTACTCTAATGAACAATACAAATAACAATAGAGCAAAAAAACTTGAAAAAAAAAAAAACTCCAAAAACAACACGATACTTGGATACTTTTTAATAGAAATGAAAAACTTTTGGATTTGGAAACATCTTGATTGAATATGGGCCTCGAGATTTTTTGTAATTATTTTAATTTTCTTCATCTAATTATTTTACTTAATTTTTAACAATATTGTTGTTAAGTATTTTATGTACAGGTTTCACCGTAAGAAATACTTTGATACACTCTGGCTCATTCTTCATCACTGAATGATAGTTCTTTGGCATCGAGACTCGCTGGATGAGCAATCGCTAGCACTCCGGTTTTTTATGAAAATAGATTCCATTTGCATTCGTTTTTTGAAGCATACCTCGATTGATTCACAGGAGGTTCTGTCATGTCCACGAAAAATTAAATATCCGGTATGAAGATACATTTTCGAGATATTTCAAAGAATGTAACTACTGATGTCGCTTTATGCCTCCACAGATGAAGAGGTTTAAAAAAAAAAACCTAGCGAATTGGTTAGAAAATTCTATTGGATTTTTATTCTACTGAAATATTCAATAGAGCTCGATTTTTCTATACAACTGATTCAATTGAGATATTTTCTTTAATTTTCTCGGCTCGAATTTCCCAAGTTTTTTTGTTTGCTTTTCTTGACGAGAAGAAGAGAACAGCTTATTAGCTGTATGGAAACAATCGAATTCTATTGACTTTTCTATTGAACCAAAAACCAATAAAAAGTTGAATAAAAATGAATTTTCTAACGAATTCGCCAGGTTTTTCTATGAAATTGTGTCGATCGTGTCTCATTGTACAACATTAGTACACCTATCGATGACTACACCCACAAAAAATGGTTTATTTAAATTGAAGAATTGTTTGAATTAAATGAATCGTCTATTAGAATCAAGTAAAGAGTTTATTTAATTTGAATATAGTTTGGTAGATTCAAATAAACCATTTGTCTGGCTGCATTCATTACACCCGAATAATCGAGATACACCGATAAGGAATGCAAACGTCTGTTCCCTAGATAATGAAACTAAAAGCTTTACCACCAGTTTCACGGTGACGGTGAAAACATCAGAGATTCTTCAGCGATGGTGACGCTGGAGTGGTTGCTCCTGGGGAGGTGACTGGAGGGAGTGACTCAGACTGGAGTGATGATTGGATCGGTGGAAGCCTGTTGGCGATGACACAGATGCACTGCGTCTCGGTAGGTGAAGAGCCGACGATGCCATTTGAGGCGGTGAGGGAGCTTCGTCACCGAGAACATCAATCTCGTCCGAGTCTGAGTCTGCCGCGGCATCACTACTCGCGTGGGACTCGCGTCCACCGTTGAGGGAAAAATCCACTGGTCTTTCTGGTTCATGAGCGAGAAGCAAGAGCGGTGAATATTCGAGGAAGTATTTTGAGAGAATTGAGAAAAATGAGACAAGTTTAACGGTTTTATGACGAGGATTTTTATAAAAAATTAAGGCCTTTCTCCGTCTGATTTGTTGATATTCAATGGAAAAAATAATAGATTTTTAGTTTTGTATATAAATTATTCTCCCGCGATTTTTTTCTACAGAAATCCTTGACAAGTTATTTTATAAGATTTTTCCGTTATATTTTTGGTTTCTTGTTTTGAAATTGAAAAAAAAAATGGAAATTTTTTTCCCGAATTTCTTATGAAAAATCTTTATTAATACATATACTACAGGTCAAAGTTGCATAATTTTTTAAAACAAATGTCATATTCTTAGTAGAAATGCAATAGAATTTCTATGAAACAATTTGTTTTTGATTGAAAAAATAAGGCGACATGAATCTCGTCCGAGTCTGAGTCTGCCGCGCCGTTACTACTTGCGTGGGACTCACGTCCGCCATTGAGGGAAAAATCTACTGGTCTGTCTGTGTCATGAGAAACGACAGCGGTGAATATTCGAGGGAGTATTTTGGGGGAATTAAGAGGAATAAAACAAGTTCAACGATTGATTTAATGAAAAATTGAGTAATTTCACTGTCCGATCTATTGATTTTTTCTATGAAAAAACATTCATTAAAATACGCATAGCAAATTTGCATAATTTGTATATTTTAAGAGAATTACGAGAGATGAGACGAATAACTGAATTCTTCTAAAAAAACCGTTTTCCCATTCAATTTTCTAATCCCGGAGAATTTAAATTAAAAAGATTCTTCCAATAATTAAAATAAAAAAAAAACACCTTTGCGTAGATGCAGGTCCACACAAGGCACTTATGTTAGTCGATAATTGAATAATTTCCTGCGAAAGAGCCACGAATCTCCCAATAAGAAGCATCACTGGGCCGAAGCAAGGGCACCGGTTTGAGACAGTAAGAGAGAAAAGTACTCAAGTTACCCAAGTTCACAAGTACTCCGGCGACTACCACTCCCACCGTTAGACTACGTTTTCCTTTACCCCATCCCCGCGTGCATCCTACAGCCTACCTCCTTGGAAGATGTCTCAGGCTAACTCTATTAAGGACCCCAGTCTTTCCCCCCCAACCATCTTGAGAAGACGAATTGAGAAGCCATTTTGGGTCTACGAGGCAAAGGTAAATGGGGTTAGACGGATGCGATGCGGTGACTCGTCGCTAGGATCGTGTCGAGTATTCTAAAGCGACGCAGTTATCTGCAATTACCAAACCGTTGAACGAGACTGGCAAGTCAAGATGAACTTATCTTTATCATTCTCTAATGCCTCATCCAGGTGAGTTTAATAATAAACAGGAGAGTGGGGGCATCCAGGGGAACACCGGGACGAAAACATTTTATTAGAACAACTTGGAGAATTCTATTGAATTTTTTCATTGAAAATTATATTAGTTTTAGGCTGCTTCTATTTGTTTTTTGCGTCAAGATATTTGTTTGAAGAAAAATGTCTACAGATATTAATTTTTCTGTATAACTTATTCTATTGTGATTTTTTCTGGAAAAATTCTTGCACGTGATTATCTCAATTTTTTTTCCTTGAATGTTATTATGAGAAAAAAATTTTAAAAACTGCGGAACAACTTCTATTTTGTTCTTTCTCTTTTCTATGAAATATCTCTTAGCAAAATGACACGGTAAAGGATAATTGTATAATCTCCTACAGAAATGGTGCAAAAAACAAATAGGCATCTTCAAAAAATTCTAATAAAACTTGAATAGAATTTCTGAGTGCCCTCTCCCAACCAAACTTCATCAACAAAATCGTGGACACGTGTAATTAAAATGTTCACCGTTAATACCATAACGCTCCCATACGGTTATTTCAGTTGGTTGGAGCAAGCGACGGAGAAAGGCTATTGATGAAGTGTAAAGTGGTTAACGATGTAGGAGGACTAGGCGGTCAGTTTGCCCGACACAACTATATGTTGTTTGATCGACATGTACGAAAATATAACACAACAAAATGTCGCGCAACTGCCTCTGACCCGACCTTTGCAGCGCGGACGCGGTGCATTTTTAAACAATTTCGTAAAACATTTTATAACGACAAGAATGGAAAGGAGAGGAAAATGAATTACCCCCTGGAGAAGTGGCTGAGGCGGGTTGTCCTCCACACTGTTGACCTCCCGAGAGACTCCCGTTGCTCCCCCCGTTATTATTGATCTTTCTCAATTGTTTTTTATGCTTCATTCGACGATTTTGAAACCACGTCTTCACTTGGGTCTCGGACAAATGCAGGGCAGCTGCGAGCTCCACTCTCTCGGGGGTGCTGAGGTACCTCTGGGCCTCGAACCTCGCTTCCAATCCCGCTAATTGTTGATCACTAAAAACCTGTCGACAATTTTTAAACGGAAATTGAGGGATTTTGAAATTTTTATGAATTTCTCGTTGGCTGGAATTTTTTCCTTGAAAGTGAATAAAACATATTGGCTCCATATTGTATTTTTATCGAGAAGGCTCACTCCTTCTCTGGACGATTCTATTCAATTCTTGTGCGAAGGTTGTTATGTTAATATTTTTAACTTATTTTTTCAAGAGGAAGACATTGATTTTGATTTTGGAGGAAAGAATTTAGCCACTTTTAATTTTCAATGCAGCTTTAATGAAAGTCCAAATTTTTGAGCAGCAGGAAGACGAGAATTCCCTAATGTTCTTCAATTTTAGAGAGAAAATAAACATGAATGTTTAGTACTTAATCTACCGATTTTGAAATTTACAGTTTTTATTGATTTTTCATTAAAGTCCATGAAATTTCAGTTAAAGCCCTACCTTATGGATGGATTATCTTTCTTTTATTTTCTGATAATCTGATTAGCTGTTACATGATAAATTTTCTTTTCATCACAATTTTATGGAAAAAATTTCAACGCCGTATACCAAGCATAGATTTTGCATTGATGAATAGTATTCTACGTGATCAATCTGCCCGCATTATTCTCCTCGCCAACCCCCAGAAAAAAAAAAAAAAAAAAAAAAAAAAAAAAAAA